CCGTCTTCGCGACGTGACGTGCCTGAGTACTGACGACTTACATTGTTGGCTATGCGGGACGGGGCGACAACACAGTCCCCTGCGTGAGTGTCATACTATGCATTCGGGGTTCGTGCGTATATGTCCTTGCTTGCATTTGCCCTAATACGGTATCCCCCAACAGAGCACAGAGTACCCCACCCTAACCACTATCTTCCCTTTCAACAGGCCGTGGGGGAGCCCGCAGTCGCGGCCATCCGTGCTTACTACCCCGACGACAACAGTGTCACTGCCGCAATCAACGCGGGACTCGAGGAGGTGCGTCAGACATGTTGTGATGTGACTTGAATCGTAGAATATGGATGCACCTATAGGAGCACCTGCCACAACGGCGATACTGAGTCCAGGCTTTTGTAAAGCGAACCTTTACCCCTGCGTGTTTGTCCATGCACTTTGGCACAAACGTTTTCAGCAACACCCCCGTCCCCACCCTCCCTTCAGGTCCAAGCGCTCCTGACAATGGACATCGGTGAGATGGCGGGGACCGTCCGCCCGGATAGCGTATGGAGCATCGCCACCAAACCCGTCACCGGAGTCAAGCTGGGACAGGACCACATGCACCTGCTGGGGACCGTTTCCGTCACCGGTGAAGGCGGCCAGCCAGCCAGGCGGGGGGGCCCTGCATGTTCCGATGACCTGCCTGAGGAGATCGAGTACAGCGGAGATGGCGAGGATGACGAGAGTGATGACGAAGTGGGGCCCAGAGGTGGGCATCAAGAAGGGGCCTTGCATTGTCTAATGCAACAGCGGTTGCGATCAGTGTTCCATTTGTTGGCTAGCTGTTCATAGTTCCTGTATGAGACGACACCACGGGCACAATATGCCCTCTTGCAACACCCGCAGCAGCCAGCGACACCATGAACACACGGGATGAGGCCGCGGGTCGCGCTGGCGGTGAGAGCGGCGAGGTGGCTGGCGAGGGTCCCGTGGTCGGCGAAGGAACCGTGGGCGGTGAGGAACCCGCGGGCGGCGAGGAACCCGCGGGCGGTGAAGAACCCGCGGGCGGCGAGGAACATGCGGGTGTTGAGGAACCTGTGGGCGGTGAGGAACCTGCAGGCGGCGAGGAGGCGCGCGATGACGACCAGTCTGACTCCGACGGAGGAGAGCGTGGACGCCTGCTGAAGCGGCCGCGTGATGTCAGCATACTGCTGGCCTTGCGCGTGTTCACACGGCGGTTCAATGCTTGCATCGCCCGTCAACCCCGTGACCGTATCCGTGGCAGGTTTTGGGGTGTCGACATGCGTGAGGCTGTCATGTTGCTGAACGAGGGTGACGAGGATCACCTTTCAGACGGCGACTATGTGGCCGTGCTGGAGGAGGTGGAGGGCCGCGCAGTAGTGCGTGTGGCCCTGGTGGAGGGGCTGCTCTGCCCCCAGGGGCGTGGCAGGGGTGCAGCCCGTTCTCGCCTGTCTACCACCAGGCGGCTTGACATCGGTAACCCAGATGGCAGGTTGCTGCTCCGCCTTCTACACCCTTCGCAAACCGGTGAGGCAGTCATCTGTGCGGGTGGAATGCAAGCGCCTTGGGGCTAATGACTCGGAACCTGTATGTAGGCGCAAGCGGACAATACTTCCTACCACACG